GCAGCAGCAGCAGCAGCAGCACAAACGCGAGACTTTCTGTGCGCAAGCCAGCTAAGTATTCAATTCACGATTCGTGATTTTGTCTCAAATTGTTCCGAACGCAGGCAAGCAGCAAAGCAGCGGCAGTCTGACTGCAGTCGTTGCGTTGCTTTCCGCATGAGCTAGAATCACGAATACACGATAACCTGCCCACCGCTCCTCGGCCATCTCTGCTCTCGCTACCAGAGCTGGAGCATCGACCAGCACTTCGAACCACCATCCACCTCATCCATCATTTGCTTGGAACCCACCTCATCCCTCCGCCTCATCGATCAAGATGGTCAAGCAACGCGTGCTCATTCCCGGTGGAGCTGGATACATCGGCTCTCACGTCGTGCTCTGCGTCCTTCTCACCCGTCGTTACAAGGTGACCGGTGAGTCTATAGAAGCCTCTTTACCCACAGCTCCATCATCAGCTCCCTCTGCGCACCTCACAACGAGCAAAATTGTCGAAGTTGCAATGTCGAATGCACGCGCAAATATCCACGTCCTCTGGATCCATCTGACCCTCCCATTCTCTTTCAACCCACTCCTCCATCAGTGCTGGACAATTACCACAACTCTTTCCCCACTTCCCTGGAGAGGGTCTCCAAGATTGCTTTGGACGCCCTTCCCGCTGATGCGTCCGAGGAAGACAAGGAAGCTACGAAGATCGATGTAATCAAAGGCGATCTCAGGGATAAGAGCACCGTGGACTCGGCATTCGCAAAGTATGCCGACAAGAGCGCGGATGACAAGATCTGGGCCGTCATCCTTGTTGCTGCCCTCAAGGCTGTTGGCGAGAGTGGAGAGATCCCGATCGAGTGAGTCTTCCATCGCGTCAAGACGTGTTTCTGCCCTTTGAGGGTCAGACAAGCCTGACAGGGCTGTGAATGCCAGTCACGCTCAACTGCGGGAGGGCTTCGCTAAAGCTCTGCCGCACGCACCGATTCGCGCAGTTACTACGAGGTCAACATTTCAGGCCTGATCACTCTCATTCGAGCCATGCAGCAGCACAAGGTCACACGTCTCGTGTACTCGTCCAGCGCTACCGTGTACGGTATTCCCAAGACCATTCCTATCCCAGAGACTACACCTTTGGCAGCTGAGAGCGTTTATGGACGCACGAAGCAATTCAGCGAAGTCATCATCAAGGATGTATGCGATGCTTATCCCAAGGAATGGAGAGCCATCGGGTTGAGATACTTCAAGTGAGTCTCGGATCAATGCGCTTGAGCTGTCAATAGCCGGTATCGCGCCCTGACTTCTTTCCATGCGGTTCTCACAGCCCCGCTGGTGCTCATGCATCTGGTCTGATCGGAGAGGACCCCAGAGGCAAGCCAGGAAACTTGCTCCCGCTGCTCTCTCAGATGGCTGTCGGAAAGTACAGAGACCCAGGTCTCAAGATTTTTGGCAACGACTATCCCACACCGGACGGAAGTGAGTTGACGGAGCAGAAAAGCGTGACTCGGAGGAGCGCAAAAGCTCAGACTTGCGTGTACATGGAAGGGAAGAGCAGGGGTCATGAGTGCATACCAAATTGTCAAAGGTCAATTCACTGACGCTCGTTAATGCTGCGCAACCACAGCCTGCGTCCGAGACTACCTCCACGTCATGGACCTTGCGGGTGGTCACATTAACGCTCTCGATGCGCTCGATGATGACAGCAAGTTTGCCGATACCCCTACTCCTGGCAAGTACAAGGCCTACAACTTGGGCCGAGGCAAGGGCATGAGCGTTCTAGAGATGGTCGAGGCGATGAGAAAGGTGACAGGGTGAGTCCTCAGCGAGCGGCAGATCAGCTGCGACATCTTCTGCAGGCAGGGACTGAGCGGAGGTGCACGAATTGTCACGCAGCTACGAATACCCCTACGAGATTGTCGGAAGACGTCTTGGGGATGTACCAGATCTCACTGCAGACCCCACACTGGCCGAGAAGGAGCTTGGCTTCAAGGCCAAGTATAATCTCGAGGAGATGGTGAGTCTCTGCGCGAAGGGAAGCCCAGCGTTATTGGAGGTAGGGCGGTGTGGCTCGCAGACGCGCGCTTGCGAAAGCGGGCAAGAACAGTATTTGCTGATCTTTACCGCTTCTCGTCGCTCGTCAAATTGTCCTCAGTCTCGCGACCTGTGGAACTGGCAGAGCAAGAATCCCAAGGGTGAGCAGTGTGGGATTTGCGTGGTGATGTGTGGTGTGTTAGTCGACTGACGTCACCCCTTTCGACACGCGTGATGTCGCTCGTGACAGGTTACGAGACTGGAAACTAGATCGCACTACCCGGGTGCGGTATTTGAGAGAGGAGATACGAAGGCAAGGGAAGTGGCATGTAGAGCATGTAGGATGCACAACGTGTGCCTTTCGTGCATTTGGAATTCAAATCAATTGGATGCAAAACCAACAAGGTCTTTGTGTAATATGGCGCAGGGTCGTTGGTCAAGGACTCGTCCGCCAACTTTAGTTTTTCCCAATCTTATGGCGCGGGAATCTGAATTGGGTGGAGCATTTTCTCAACTTGGGCCGAGATTAATGGACAGATACATGCGCCAGGGAAGCACCCACCTTTGAAATTCCCGACTTTTTTGATTTGACAATGTGAATCCACCCTCGCTGTTCGCTCTGCTCCATCTTGATCGACACTCCTCGCACTCCTCCCACATTTTGATGGCACGCAGCTGCAATATGACTCGCCCCACTGGTGACTCTTCACCATCACTTCTTTCCTTGACAAGACTTGCCTCATGCCCATGGCGTTTGCAACATTTGACCTTGCATCATGTACGAAAATTTGAATGAACCAGCAGGATGATCGTCGGGCACTTTTGACTATTTGAGCTGGACACGTGACGCCGCTACTCGACTCCTTGAGCAGATCACGTGTTCTGTCCACCCACAGTCCCCCCTTTTTTTTCTTTTTTTAAATCATTTTTTTTTGATTTTTCTCCTGCTGCACAGGCACGAGGTCAGCTTGACGGAACATGATGCACGAAGCATCATCAGCAGCAAGCAAAGCTGAGCTAGCCCACGTCTTTTCAAACGGGGATTCCCAACCGTGACTTGCACTTTTGACTTTTCTTTCTGAATTTTGACATCTTTGTATCAAGTCTCTTCTGATCTCCGATCCGCCCTTTTGCCTGCTGACTTGCCTTCCCGACCACAACCAACGTCCCTTGCTCCACGACTTGAGCATTTTCTCGCGCATCCTCTAACTTCCTCGACTCTGCCAAACGTTCTCACCTTGCTGCTTGCGCTGATCGCTCTCCCCACGAGAAATTTGCGTGGCTGAACGTCAAGGGCTCTCCGCACGTCTGCTACAGAAACGCTTTCGGGAGGGATAGAGCGGTGGCACTGGTGCTACTGCTGGTATTTGGACTGGGAGCGCACCTGGGCAAGGTCATCAGAGGTGCTCAGACTGCCGTGACCGACTTCAGCATGGTCTCGTTCAATTGCGAAGGATGTTTCGACGTGATCAAGAAACCGTGAGTGGTGCAAAGTCTGCTTCCCGCTTTTCCATCTCGCTCCACCCAGCCTGCTCTTGAACACCAAGTCCTCTTCTTCTTTTCTGTTCTTTTCTTTTTTAAAACGGGACTTTTGTTTTAGCAAATTGGATGCGCATCATCAGAGATGCAAAGCTCCTTTTACGTGCTTGGATTGTTCTACCGTCTTCAACTCTCCTCAAGCTTGGAAACCGCACACTACGTGCATCTCTGAAGCTGAAAAGTATGAGAGGAGCGTGTACAAGGGCAACGCGAATGGCAAGGGGAAGGGGAAAGGCAAGCCGCAGCCTCAGGAACAAGAGCAAAGAAAACAGGGTATGAATCCTGCCGTCATAGCGCCGGAGAAGAGTGGTGATGCTCCTGCTCAAGCCGATGCTCAGCCCGCCTCTCGTGCCAAAGGGAGCGACAGCACAGCGGAACCTGCAAGCGAGGTTGCAGCTGCTTCCAAGACAACAAAGAGCCCAAAGTCCAAAAAGCGCAAAGAGAGCGATTCGAGGGAGGAGGTTGGAGCTGAGCAGACGGCCGACCGGACAAAGAAGAGCAAGAAGGACAAGTCGACAGAGTCAGCGGAAGAGAAGGCGGCGCGTAGAGCGGCCAAGGCACTGTCCAAGGAAGCAGAGCGCAGTGGGGACCAGTTGCAAGCGACTAGCATCGCGAATGCACGCGTGGCAGACGAAGCACCGACCTCCGCTACGGCACGCGTGGAAGCAAAGGAGAGCAAGGAAGATAAGAAGGCGAGAAAGGAAGAGAAGAGGAAAAGAAAAGAGGAAAAGGATGCAAAGAGGGCAAACAAGGCTCATACGGCACAAGCGCTTGGCGGTGAGTATGCTTAGGGCGCGCTCAGAGAGGTGGGAAGCTCGAAGAGCTGGACATGGTGTGGGGTTGCTAGCATAGGAAGCACTCATTGACTGGCAGCCGAGAAGAAGCCGCAATAAAGCATGAAGCATTGATCATGCTTTTCCCACAAGAGCACATCGGCCACTTGCAATGACATGAAGTTACCTGTGGCGGACAGCTGGGCGCAAGAGGCGTGTCTTTGGTTCCGCTTGTCGTGCTGCTTGGATGCTGACCAAGCCGTATCCCACCGTTGGCGCCTGTAAATGCGCAGAGCAAGCGGGGCCATTTGCAAATGAGGCCAGAGTAGAAGAGCGGTCGACGCCAGGCTCCGCTATTTTGCGCTCCTTGCCCGCTCGGCCAACGCCGGGCCTCTCGAGCCGTACGGACGCGCCGCCTCGACGTCTCATAGCTGTGGCTCCGAGCACTGCGAGCGCTTCTTTAGCGCCATTGCCTGCTGTGCCCAGCTTGGTGGCAGGTTTATCTGGCGGCAGCATCACGCGCATAAGTGGCGGGCGACAAAAACAGCGTCTGGTGGGATCGGCAAGCAAGAAGAATACAAAGTGGTCTCTGAACGAATCGCTGCCGGGACACAAGCTGTTGAGCTCGATGGGATGGAAAGCGGGTCAGGGGATCGGGAGCTTGATAGAGGGGAGGCAAAGGGGCCCAGTGGCGGATAGCGTCATGTTGAAGTTGGACAAGGGAGGTATTGGAGCTATGAGAGCTCAGAGGGAGGCAAAGCAGGGTGGAGACGAATGGATCGCATCCAACCCGGCGGCAGCGAACGATCTGGGCGATTTGTTCGCTAGACTCAATCAGCACACTTTTGGCATTCAGCAGCAGCAGCAGCAGCTCGAGCATGAACATCGAGAAGCGCAGGACAAAGTTGGTGGGCAGGTCAAGAAGAGAAAAAGGGACGAGACAAAGGAGGAACGCAAAGAGCGCAAACAGGCCGAAAAGATTGCGAAGAAGGCGTTCAAGAAGGCTGAAAAGGCTGATGCAGCGTGTGCGCGTAATAGCACTGTAGAGGCCGAAGGGAGGGAGCAAATGAAGAAGAATCTTCCAATTCGAGGAGCGTGAGTGTCGTCGAAGCCTGTGCGCCTGATCATCTCTTCGAAAAGGCTGAACAGCAGAATTTGTTGATCATCACGG